GCAGTAAAGTACGTAGTTGTAACTGTTAATTAGAAATTAGATAGTTTTAAGATATTTGTTATTTGAAGAAAATACATTGCATTGTTCGTAAATTTTAATGACCGTTCTTGCATCTGGCTGTAAATGTTTTATATTTTAAATTTCTAAATCAGTATTACCTCTAATGATGTGTTTTACGCCTACGTATTATGCATCGTTTAAATTCATAGTTTTTTTTTTTTAATTTGTTTGTATTGTTTTTCAATTAATTCGGATTAAAACAGTAAATAAAAAATAATACAAAACAATAATTAAAAGGAACCAAGTCGCTGCAATCAGGATGCAATCGAAATGCATTTACAGCTACCTACAATACTCCTATATATGTGACGTGTGGAGAGTAGGTTACCCCACGACACTTATGCCTCACTATGTCCATTGTGCTTCCTTCTAAGAAAATAGGCACCTCCTAGCTCGTGAGCTATAGCCTTCAGGTTTAATGTAGTTGACAACGTTGCCAAGAGGTGCTTCTTATTTATTGGGCGGTGTTAGATAATACTCGCCTGTAACAAATATTCTAATAAATGAGAGCGTCAGGCAATCGTACAGGATATGCTTGATGGTCACATCTTCTTGTTCGCATCTCCTGCAGGGTGCGCATTCTGACGGCCCCATAATATGGAGATGTTTCCGTACTTGGCAATGATCAGTTTAAGAATCATATACGTTTCTATGCTTCGTGTAAACAGTTGCGACGGTAAAGTGACCATCCGTCCCGTTTTAGGTCGGACAGTCCCGATGTTAAATCACTAGTCCCGATTTAACATGTGCCTTGATTTTATCCCGCTTTTAAGCCATTATGGTGACGTTTTTTTGCTCTCCAATGAACCCTCACTACTTCAAAAAATAGAATTCTTTGACAAAAAATCTCCTAATCTCAATGTTTTTGATTTATGCCACTTTCTAATTTTCTAAATATGGTTACTTTAGATGACGACGAACGAACAAAGGACGGGTTGAAATTTGAAATAATTTGACATATCTTTATAGAGTTTTTACTTTAAATTAACCTAGGATCATTTATTATTCCAAACATTTTGAGTCAGGAATTGAAATTATTTTACGAGAAAATATGTTAAAACGCATTTTACTTCAACTTCCGAAAACAACACTGCCACATAACCCTTTCTTTAGTTCCCATTTGGCATACTTCTGCTTGTTTAACGTAGAAGCGACTTTAATTTGCGCTTTTACGTTTTAACAAACGGTTTCAAAAAAGCTGTTTCGAGTTTGCTCGTTTACCTTTTACCGATTTGTAATCATACGAAACTGATGGATGACGGTGAACGAACCCATTGTTAATTTAGTATGTGTTTAATACTTATGAACCAAACGACAAAAATTTATTAATTTTCATACGTTTCCTAGTGTATTAAGTTCCCATGCATTGGTACATACGAAAACTCATTCAGTTTCGCTTCTTGGGTAGGTATTCTTTGATAGAAGATATTCAGCAAAATATTTTATGGGTATCTTTAGTAGAGGCTCATAAGTAACCAATGATTATTGAATAACGTCGAAAGAAAATAGCAGAGATAAAAAATATTTTCAATACTCTGCCTATGATTTTGCCCACTAACTAGAAAGTCATCTTTATTAGGACTCTTGAGCAATATATGTACATTCTCGACTCCACTCTCTAATGGAGTCTGATTGCGATACCAATTTCGATCGAACTCAGTTACGGAGGGTTGAGCATGAGTAGATATTCAACGAGCGAAAGTGGTATCGCCATCTATACTTAGTAAGCAAAATAAAAAATTATATCTAGTGGATATCCACCATGGTTTGCGTTCGCGCCTAGACTTTAATATATTTAGTGAATGTCCATGGGATATTGAATACACCTTAAAAAAATTAATTTTAAATATCTGAACGGTACTATTAGCCACAATGGCGTAATTTTTTTAATAATTTACTACATAATTACTATTATTTATGGACATTTGCATGTCTATAAATTACATCTCATGGATATAAAATAGATATCCACCATGGACTGGACATTCAGTGGATATTGGAATGTCCAGTAGATATACAAAGGATTTAGTGTGCTGTCTGGGTAGTATGTTCTACTTACGGTTTCTCGTCCATTTTCTATATTATTAGCTCTTACAAAGTTTTCTTATAAAGCCAAACAAATCCTCGAAAAGTCACAACTCGTCACACCCAAATAAACTAGCATTTGGCTGAAGCAGTGCGAGAAATAGTAAAAAAATAGGCCTAATTAACAAAAAATTTGTTTTTCTAAAAGCAAATTATAGTTTTAAATCCGAAACTATTAAAAATTTGAAAAAAAAAACAAAAATACCACTCACAATATGTGTACACTTAATCTTAAGGCCCTAAGTACATTTAGTTGAACAAAAACGACCCACCAGTTATAATATCTGCCCTGTACGTTCATTTTAGGTATCTAAAAAAATCGTTTCTAATTTGATAATAATTTATTTTACTATTGTTTTCATTTTAAATTCATTCATACGAAAACTGGCAACGTTGGCCCTGGCGGCAGCCACGATAAATAAAATCCCGAAGATAGTCGAATACGAAAGAAAATGAATACGATAACCGATATTCGAATTTCGAATAAGCGTTCTCGCTTGAAAACAATTTCGTGAATTTGAAATAAAAAGTGATTTTTAAAAGTTAATGTTAAAGAACGTTACTTATTAAAAGTAAATACAGTGTAGTTATTGAGTTAGCGTGTTAGATAATCGAATAATATTTGTATCTGACCTAGATCATAAAAACTTATGGTATAGTGGCGTAGTAATCCGGAAATTTTTTGAATATTAGTTAAACAAAACGTGAACATGATAATCAACTATTTGCAGAAGAAAATTGAACTCTTTATGTAAGTCTGTTATATTTTTCTTGAATTCCTGTTTATTTCCTAGTTGATAGAAGTCTATTTACTGTTTGATTTCATTCAAAATACCTATACGTAACCTCTATTTTTCGATAAAAAATTTCTGGATAGTAAGTAGTTAGTTTGATAGTAATTATAAATATAAATAAACCAAGAACTTATGTTCTTAAGGTTTATATGGACCCACCTCCTCACTCGTTTCTGACTCTAGAGATGGCTCTACCTGTCACTATAACCAAAGAGTATACTATAACCCTCATTCAAAATAAAATAGATACCCAGTAAAGAATAGGTTATTTATAGATATTTCTAAGGTCGAAAGAACCATTGGTATGGGTATATTTTTAGTACTATTAGAAAGTAGAGTATTTACATATCAACAAAATAAAAAAACATTTGCTTATTATCCGCGTTTAATTGAGAAATTTGATGTTAAAATATAAAAAATTGGCCTTTTCTAAACAAATAATTCGACGTATTTGTACAGGGTTGCCACGCATTAAAATATATAAGAAGATATATATTATATAATTTTTAAATTCAGTATATTTTTTAATTTGAGTTGTTCAGTACCAGAGCTGCTTAACCAACAATTTATTAAAAGTGAGTAAACTGAGATCAAAGTATTTTACCTGAATCTACTATAGGCGAAACTGCCTAATCTTTAGGTATGGATGGTGGTACTAAAAACAAATAATTTTAAAAAATAGGCTACATATATTATTTTCAATTAGTAATATATGGAAAAAAGGTTGTTTTAGAAATTTTGTTGTTTAGGCAACTTTGCACTTCATTTGTAACCGACTTCAAAAAAAGAGGAGGTTCTCAATTCGTCGGTATATATATTTTTTTATGTATGTTTAGGGATAATTCTTTAACACGGTGTCCGATTTTATTTATTATTTTAGGTTAGAAAGGGAGTAATTTAGAGGTGGTCCCATATAAATTTGGTCAAAATTTAATAATTGGGTCCATCAGAAAATTCTCTAATTGTTCATTTTTACTTTCCTATCGGTATACAGATAAGGAAAGTATAGGAATCATGATTTTTTTTCGACCTCCAGTTTTCGACGGATTTTTACGTTTTAGGGTCCCCTGAATCTGTTTTGACTATTTTTGGGATGATGTCTGTGTGCGTGTCTGTGTGTGTGTCTGTATCCACCATAACTCATGAACCGATACAAAAAAAAAACACCAAATTTGGGCAGAGTCGAAACATCTGGGGGGGTACTTTATAGGAAGTCATTTTTATATTTTATGGAATATATCTGTTATTTACGTTTGGAGAAGAAAATTATACAATATTATTATTCATATTTTTTGTTCTATACAAAATTTTCCTAAAATGGTCCGTATTCGAGAAATTTGACAAAATGTAAAAAAATATTTTTTTATAAAAATTGTTCAAATACAAGTTGTTTGTAATATAATTCTCTATAATTTTTATTCTATACATAATTTTTCTATAATGGACCGTATTCGAGATATTTGAGAAAATTTGTAAATTTCGAATTTTGAAAACTCAAAAACGGATAAAGGAAAAAACATCAAATTTTAAAATTAAGTTTTATTTCGGCTTGACGTGAAATGATAAGATTTTGGACAAAGTCGGAACATCTGTGGGGGGTACTTTATGGGAGGCCGTTTTATATTTTATAGAATATATCTGTTATTTATGTTTGGAGAATAAAATTGTTTAAATAAAAGTTACTTCTAATATTATTATCTATAATTTTTGTTTTTGTCAAATTTTCCTAAAATGGTCCGTATTCGAGAAATTTGACAAAATGTGCAAAATTCTGATTTTTAAGAAAATTGTTAAACTAAAAGTTATTTGCGATATCGATCTCTATAATTTTTGTTTTTACATGATTTTTCTAAAATGGACCGTAATGGAAAAATTGGAGGAAAAGTGCTAAGTTGAAATTTTTCAGTATTTTCGTTTTCAATGAATATCTATAGAAAATTTTTTCGAGTTAGATGTAATTGAAGACTTTACATCGACCTTCCAAACACCCTGTATAGTTTTCACACTGCATGATAAGAATGAGAACGCCTGAAAAGAGTTGATAAAATTAAAACATTATTATAAACAATAAAATATTTATTCTTACAAGAATTTCTGTCTACATAACAATTTATTTATTAATAAAAACAGTCTATCATAATTTAAATAAATACATTAAATAGTTGTAAATATATTGTTTTTTACATCGTAAATACAATAAAGTCAATTATAACAATTAATAAAAAAATAAATTAAAAAACAGTGTCCCGCACTGCAGGACCTGTCAAAATTCAATAAAACAATACAATAAAATATATTTAGTACACTTCAATATTTTGGCCGTATGTTCCAAAATTTTCCATTTTCTTTTTTCGTAAAAACCCAACATTCCTCAACCATTTGAGTTTACTTTCAACCAACATTTTTCTTAACATTCGCGCAAATTTCGCCTGTTTCTTCACCTCTTCTTCCGGTAAATTTTTCAACTCTTCCAAAAACTGTACGTCCATAGTTATATTTTCCTCATACAAATCAACGTTTTGGGTAATTTTAATTCTTCTTGCCGAAAATATATTCCCATTTAAATCTTTGTTTTTCACGTTAAATACTAAATGTCCTGAAATTAAATCCGTTTTGGAGTTCAACGAGCCTTTCAGTGATAATTTTTGAGGTACCGCCGGTTCGATGAGGTGAATGTAGAATTTTTCGTATTGTTTATCGCCATTTTGGGATGGGTTTTTTCGTTTTAGTTTCGGAGTCGAAGTTCTGTCACAGGGATACGGATGTGTCATGTATTTTTCTGTTTTTGTATAATTTGTAACCTGTAACAAAAAAAATAATAATCGAAGAGGAAATGGGGATGTGCATAATGAGGGGTGTCTTCTCAACTCGAGACTTCTCAACTGGGGACTCTACCTTTTTGGAGGTAGAAAGTGTCGCAAGTCGGGACCTGAGCAGAATTCGCAACTGGGGCCTTGCTTAATGCGGCTTTAGCAAATGGTTATTTAAGCATAGGATTAGAAAGTAACCAAAGCTATTTTGGTTGCAAATAAGATAATAATCCTTCATTTATTTACAATTATGAAGAAGGCTTTAAATAGTCATTTTTTAATCCTTCATTTATTTACAATTATTACGAGGATATATCAGTATATAACGAGACTGGTGCTATAACTTCTTTCAGAGGTAACATTTTATAACCCAAAAAATGAGACATGAAAGCCTTATATTTAATGTACTACCCCGCAAGTAGGCTTTGATTTAACTTTTGACATTTGTTACAAATTAATTATTGAATTGTCAGTGTTTTGCGTTCCCATCGAAAAATGAAAGTGGAGCAAAGATACGCGATAAAATTTTGTGTTCGATTGGGTAAAACACCAACTGAAACTTTTGAAATGATTAAATTGCAGTTTTATAAATTAAAATTTTCTTTGTTTTATAAATATTTATTCAGCAATTTTTAAAGAACGTTTGTTTATATAATTTTTGTGTAACTGTTAGCAAAGTATCAATAAAACAGATTTATGGAGCAATATTGTTATAAAGTGTGTCCATGTATGAGGTGCCCCAAAGGAGAAATATTTGTTATTTTTAATTTTAGCGAAAAATGTCACCCTTGATAAAAAGTTTTGCTTGTTCAAAAAACATATAAAATGAAATAAAATTCAAGTTTTTCAAAACTTGCTTCATTTTATATTATAGAAATAAGTAATCTTTACGACAATAATCTAGTGTGTATTATTACTGTATTTTTACTTTCCCATCTGTATACAGATATAAGGAAAGTATAGGAATCATGATTTTTTTCGACCTCGAGTTTTCGACGGATTTTTACGTTTTGAGGTCCCCTGAATCCGTTTTGACTATTTTCGTGATGATGTCTGTCTGTCTGTGTGTGTGTGTGTCTGTATAACGCATAACTCATGAACCGGTACACAAAAAAACACCAAATTTTAGACTTGAGCTTTGTTTCAGCGTCCAATGAGGTGATTAGATTTTGGGCACAGTCGGAACATCTGGGGGGGTACTTTATAGGTGGTCATTTTTATATTTTATGGAATATATCTGTTATTTACGTTTGGAGAAGAAATTTCTTCAAATAAAAGTTACTTCTAATATAATTATCTATAATTTTTGTTCTATGCAAAATTTTCCTAAAATGGTCCGTATTCGAGAAATTTGACAAAATGTAAAAAAAATTATTTTTTATAAAAATTGTTCAAATAAAAGTTGTTTGTAATATAATTTTCTATAATTTTTATTCTATACATAATTTCTCTAAAATGGACCGTATTCGAGATATTTGAAAAAATGTGTAAATTTCGAATTTTGAAGAAAACTCAAAAACGGATAAAGAAAAAAACATTAAATTTTAAACTTAAGGTTTATTTCGGACTGACGTAAAATGATTAGATTTTGGACAAAGTCGGAACATCTGGGGGGGGTACTTTATGGGAGGCCGTTTCTATATTTTATGGAAAATATCTGTTATTTATGTTTGGAGAAGAAAATTGTTCAAATAAAAGTTACTTCTAATATTATTATCTATAATTTTTGTTTTATGTCAAAATTTCCTGAAATGGTCCGTATTCGAGAAATTTGACAAAATGTGCAAAATTCTGAATTTTATGAAAATTGTTGAACTAAAAGTTGTTTGAGATATCGATCTCTATAATTTTTGTTTATACATGATTTTTCTGAAATGGACCGTAATGGAAAAGTGCTAAATTAAAATTTTTCAGTATTTTCGTTTTCAATGAATATCTATAGAAAAATGTTTCGAGGTAGATATATGTGGACAATGTATATATTTAGTTTATCCTCTAAACATTTATAGAGATGCTGCAATAGGTTGTACAAAATAACCGGAAAAAGCCTATAATAACTAGATAGGAAAGTCATGTGTTGGACACATCAGATTTTTAGTTATTATTTTTGTTATTGATTTTAATTAAAATTTACTGTTGTATGATAATTTGAAATATTATTGCTTAAATGACAAAAACGTCAAACACTATATTATTGTCGTAAAGATCACTTGATTATTATTACATTTTCTAACTTAGTGCAGAAATGCAGAGGGTTTTGAAAAACTTGAATGTTATTTTATGGGGTTTTTGAACAAGCAAAACTGTTTATCAAGAAGGACATTTTCCGCTAAAACTAAAAATAACAAATATTTCTCCTCTTGGGTACCTCATCCGTGAACACACTGTATATATGTACCTACCCATCTTGTGTTTATAAGAAATGTTTACTCAATAATCTTATTTTATGAAAATTGCAACAAATTGTTTTATTCATCCTATGAAAAAAGTTAAAAAAAGTATTATCAATTTTGATAATTAGACATCTAAATAACACCGAAAAAATTAAAGGGGTGATTCTGTGATGAAAATTAATGTGAGTTTTTGGTATAAAATTTTTTGAAAAAACCCTCCCCGGAAAAGTTACACCCCTTCGAAAATTAAAAAAAATAATGGTTTTTCTTTTTTATTTTCCTTGTATATCAAGCTAAAGACACGAAACATTATCTGTCAATAAAAGTACACTTTTTCAAATTTTTTCAACCCTGAAGTATGCTTAGAAGGGGTTCAAATAATCAACCCCTAAGATATTTTTGCTTACAACTTTTTTTAGATGAAAATGTTTTCTTTAAAAAAGTATGACTGAAAAGCCCAATTCATTGACTAACTTTTTTAACTCTACAAGTTTTTTCTAAAACTTGAGCATTTACGAGAAAAAAAAATCTAATGCAATGCATTTTCAAAAAGATGAGCTAACGCGAGTATATTTTGCGTCAAGTCTAGTGGCCTGTGCTTTGCATAAAAACATTAATACTGATACCAGGATTGTATAGTGTCATTTTCTGTTACCCATCTTATTGTTTCACAAGTTTTATGATTGTGTATTGTAGAAAATATTAGTTGATTGAAAATATGAATGCATATTCGAATTTGGAAATGGCAGATATGCATTTTACATACGGTTGTGCTAACGGTAATTCATTGGAAGAGCAAAGACTTTATGCTGAACAGTTCCCACAGCGTAGACTACCCCATCATACTACGTTCACAACTATTAACCGACGTTTGCGGGAACGTGGTAATTTTGAAAAAAGAAGTTATGATTCTGGTCGTACTAGAAAAGTTAGAACTGCAGCTGTAGAAGAAGCCGTACTTAATTCAATTGAAGAATTCCCAGAAACTAGTACCAGGAGAATAGCTCGTGTCCTACATGTAAGCCATTCCGTTGTTTTTAGAATTTTAAAAGAACAAATGTTGTATCCCTATCATCTTCAACGGGTGCAAGCGTTAATGATTCGAGATTTTTTACCCCATGTGATTTTTTGTCAGTGGCTTATTAATATGATTGGCCAAGCACCACAGTTCTTAGGTAATATTTTATTTACTGACGAGGTGAGTTTCTCAAGAGACTGTATTAGAAATTTTCACAACAATCACCTTTGGGCTGACGAAAATCCTCATGGCTTTTTTGAAGGAAATCATCAGTATCAATTTTCATTAAACGTGTGGCTCGGAATTATTGATAATCATTTAATTGGTCCCCATTTTCTTCCGCTACAATTAAATGGTGAAGCATATTGTCATCTCCTTGAAGAATTACCTGTTCTTCTTGAAGAGGTTCCCATTCAAATTAGGCAAAATTTATGGTTTATGCACGATGGTGCACCAGCTCATTTTAGTATACATGCAAGAACTCACCTGGATGAGGTGTATGCCAATCAATGGATAGGTCGAGGAGGACCTGTAAACTGGCCAGCCCGCTCCCCTGCCCTTAATCCTTTGGATTTTTGCATATGGGGATATCTGAAATCTTTGATATACACAAACCCAGTTGAAAATATCGATGATCTGCGAAACTACATTGTAGCAGGGTGTGAAACTATAAGAAATTCTCCAGGAATATTTCATCGTATACGCAATTCTATGAGGAAAAGGGTAGATGCTTGTATTGAAGCTGAAGGCGGTCATTTTCAACATTTATTATAATTGTATTATCGATATTCGACAGGTTTTTGTTCATTGTTTGTTCACTTTTGTTTTTAGTTGTAGAAGTCTTAAGAATCATAATTTGGTTGGCTGTTGTTTAATAAAATGCTATTTTAGATGAGCTTATTTATTTTTTTCTCATAAATGCTTAAGTTTTCGAAAAAAACTTGTAGAGATAAAAAAATTAGTCAATGAATTGGGCTTTTCAGTCATACTTTTTTAAAGAAAAAATTTTCATCTAAAAAAAAGTTGTAAGAAAAAATATCTTAGGGGTTGATTATTTCAACCCCTTCTAAGCATACTTCAGGGTTGAAAAAATTTCAAAAAATGTACTTTTATTGACAGATAATGTTTATCAAGTTTCGTGTCTTTAGCTTGATATACAGGGAAAATAAAAAAGAAAAACCACTTTTTTTTAATTTTTGAAGGGGGGTAACTTTTCCGGGAAGGGTTTTTTCAAAAAAATTTATACCAAACACTCACATTAATTTTCATCACAGAATCACCCCTTTAATTTTTTCGGTGTTATTTAGATTGTTTTTATTTCAGTAAAACAATTATTAGACGATCTGATCACGAATGTATACCAAATATAGCAAAAAATGAAGTTGAGATGAGCATCAATAAAGCCAAAAAAAGATCTCGTGAAGAAACTACGTCAATCCACAAGATTTTTGATGAGGAAATGTTACCCGTAATGTAGTCTGGAATGGAATTTGTAACCGAAATTCCAAGCTTTGAATCCAAAAAAGGACAGACTGTACAGGGCGAGACACAAGACTTTAGGTGTTGTTAAATTTAAAATCCGAGAAGACATTTTATTGCCAGATAAAATAACTAACAACTGTTTGTTATTTGAAAATGATGATGAGGACAAAATATTAGCGTTTGCTTCTGAAAACGCTAGAAGTACAATGATTCAGTGTCGCAATTTTTTTGGAGATGGCACCTTCAAAAGTTGCTGTCCACAATTTAAGCAGCTTTACACCATCCATGCAGACATTGGTAGTACACCAACCCAAACCAACATTATTCCTCTCGTATACGTACTTCTTCCCGATAAAAAAGAGACAACATACATACGTTTGTTTTCTCTAATAAAACAACATTTACCAGTGTGGAATCCTGTGAGTTTCAAAATTGATTACGAAGATGCAGCTATTTTGGCTCTACGAAAATGTTTTCCAAATATAAAAATAAGTGGATGCAACTTCCATTTTAATCAATGCTTGTGGCGCAAAGTTCAAGAAATTGGTCTAACTAAAGCATACAAGGAAGATGAGGAAATCCGAATGCACATAAGAAGATGCGCTGCGTTGTCACACATTCCATATGAAAGCGTAGACGATGGATGGTTGAGCATAATGGAAAACTGTGTTAATGATCCACTTGTACAAAAATTTAACGATTACTTTGTTGATCAATGGTTGTGCAATTCCATTGTGCAAAAAATGTGGATATGCTACGGCGAAAGGCATAGAACAACAAACTCGTTTGAAGGTTGACATAGCCGCCTAAACAAGAAATTGTCAAAAATACATCCAAACATATTTGAACTTATAGAGGCACTAAAAGAAGGAATCCCATCACTATTATAATATAAAAGAACAAGTGGAATTTTACATGACACCAAAAAGAAGGAAATTGCGTTATACTGTACTCGATGAGAGAATCGAAAACACGGTCAGTGACTACGTCCAGGAAAAAACAAGCATTAGTGAATGTTTGTAAAAGTTGGCGTATATTGTAAAAATGCAGTGACCTTTTATTTTAATTTTCTATATTCTATACCTAATAAAAAAAAATTAATCTATTTTTCTTGTCTTATTTATAATTAAATATAAAAATATAAATAAATAAATATAAATTAATGTTTAATTGAGTAGGTATAACTGTAAATAAATGAAGGATTATTATCTATTATTATTATTATTATTATTTATTTCCAACCAAAATAGTTACTTTCTAATCCTATGCTTACCCATTTGCTAAAGCCGCAAGTCCCCAGTTGCGAATTCTAACCAGGTAAAAATTTCCGGCGTCCCGAGATGCGAAATTTTTACTCCGAGTCCCCAGTTGCGAAGTCCCGAGTTGCGAATGAACCATAATTTCTAGCTAATTTATTGTTATTTTATCACCTCTATTTTAATTTTAATGCTCCATTCCTTCATTGAAAAAACGTGGATTATGTTAGCGTCCGAGGAAGTTAGCAGAGCCACAACTAAATTTTTGATTTTTATTACGCTATATTTTCTAGCTAATTTATTCCTAATTTATTACTCCTTATTTAATTTTATTACTCCACCCCTTCTGAAAAAAATGTGTATTCTGATTGCGTACGTGGAATCAAGTAAAGCCACAACCGAATTTATATTTTTTTTACTAGGTACACAATAATGTTTAGCTAATTTATTGATAATTTATTTTCTTGTTATTCTGTATGCCTTATGGGTTTGTTTTGGTTCAAACAGAACCGTCGATTCCAGTTCCTGAATACAGTAGACGAATTAATTTTTCAAAAGCACGTCGCGAAGTTATAAGAACTTCTTAAATAATCGAGTTTAATTGACTGATTCTGAACTAGTTTCCGAAAGAACCAAAACAATCCTTATGTATATCTTTTTTCGAAACAAAATAAATTGAAAATGAAATATTATACTGGGTGTTTCGTAACTCTATACTGCCAAATTTCAGGGGTGTTAAGGAACAACAATATAAAAATGTTTTGTTTTTGCTCATTTTTTGGAAAGATTAAAAATAAATCGATATTTATTTAATAATGAAATTTTTCAGTTTGTTGATCCATTGGATCTATTAACGTTTATTCAAAATTTTCATAGACATGTCTATTATTTTTGCTACTTTTTTTTGCTCTAGATTTAGATTTTTTGTATGTCGCTTCCGATTTCAGCTTTCGAGTTATATCTTTAGTTGCTTCAGAGACGTGCAAAGTTTATATTTAAATTTTATAGGACCGGTTTATTAAGAAAAAAATATTTATTTTGATGTCTCATACCATCCTTAAAAGTTTGTTAATATAGTTACAAAAGAAGTCAAAGAAAGAATATTAATAAGAAAATTAAAATGATTTGGAATAACTCGGATACAAATAGGAAGTTTTCTATATATGAAATATCGAGTTTAATAGATATGCGATCAAATATTTACAGGTTACAGAACAATAATCCCAATTTGCTTTTTATTACAAAAATGATAAATGTATAAAAATAATTCCATATTACCTGTGATTGCATTTTATCCTTTTTTTTTTCTATAACACAAACAAAAACAATTCGGCTCCTTCGGTTGGTTCTTAAAGCCCAGTTGAAAAATTGATACTAAAATATTTTAATACGTACTTTAAATGCCTTATCGCAGAGTTTTTGTAAAACAGTGGCGTCTCTTATTGTTGGCATTTAAATTATTAAATTTTGTATACAGGGTGTTGTTGAGCAGAATATGTTCAGCAACAGTAGGTAAAATAAGGCAAAACGAGAAAGATTCAAATTGGCATATATTCAAAGTATAACTGACAATTATTTATATTAAGATTGACAGCTAATAAATAACTTGGTTAGAAACGCAAAGGCATTAGCTCGCATGCTAAGTAACTTATTAACAGGTGTCAATTTGAAAAGTTTCAATGCGAATATCTCGCAAAATAAAGAAGTTGGAGAAACGCCGTTTGGCACAAATGATATAGAGTTAGGGGGACCTAAAACCCCCATATTTCAGTGAAGGGGTGAGTCACCCCTTAGACGCGACACACCCCAACTTTAAAATGTCAAATGGCACTACCCCTTTTGTTATACCTCAAATGAAAGTTCTCATTTAGTAGTATTCACCTGTACAAGATTTTTTTTCCATTCAATACAGGGTGTAACAAAAACATGAATTCGAATAAAATAAACTGTATTTTGTTAAAATGGTAATTTATTTGATCAGATAATTCAAAATGCATTCTATTTATTTCTAAACGATGGAACAATCGATTTTCAAACTCCGTTATTGTTATTAAGATGATATTTTATTTAATTAGATTGGTCAACATGCATTCCATTTTCTTGTAAACAAAAAAAAACTTCAACAAATTCCATTTTAAAATTTTGGAGCACTTATTTTAAAATAAAAAATAGCATTGAATTTATCGGGTACGTACCTACCTATCAATATAAAATTTAGTCGTTTGTGCAAGGTTGTACTGCAAAGTCAGAATTGTCTAATTGAAGAAATACGAGTATAATTTTTATTTTCTGTTCATCATGGTCTACAGTTTGGCTGAAAGAATTCAGATGGTGTTTATTTATGGTTCAGAAAATCGTTGTGCCTTAAGAACTGCTGCAGCATTTAACGAAATAAACCCCGGAAAAAATGTAAGTAATACTTACATCAGACAACTGATTATTCAATTTGAAGAAACAGGATCAGTGGCAAACAAAAAAAGGGTCCATTAAAGAGTACTTAATGAAGCAGCACAAGTGGAAGTTTTAGGACATTTTGATCCTACAATGTCTCTACGCCAAGCTTCGGTGATAACTGGAATTTCTCATGAAGCTGTTCGTCGGGTACTCAAACTTCATAAGTTTTACTCGTTCGAAAAGCAAATTCTTCAGGAGTTGCAGAAGGATGACCCCGATCTAAGAATGCAATTTTACGAGAACATGACCGAAATGTTTCGTGTTACTCCCCAGTTGCTAAAAAATATTTGTTTTAGCGACGAATGCACGTTTCATTTAAACGGTTCAGTGAACAAATACAAATCGCAGGTATTAGAGTGACGAAAATCCGCATTTCTTCAGGGAAGGGCACACGCAGTATCTAGAAAAAATAAATGTCTAAGCGGGAATTTTAGGCGACACTGTGGGGCGATGCCCAACTCGGCACACCAGGCAGGTAAACGGTACAGTTATAGCCCAAGTCGGCACATAACTATGCCGGTACTTTTTTCTATATAGCCCAAGTCGGCACATAACTATGCAGGTACTACCTTTTTCTATATAGCCCAAGTCGGCACATTACATTAGAAAACTTTATTTACATTTTTAAGAATATTCACATATATACAACATCATATAAAATAAAAACTCAATTCCCGGGGGTTTTGGGTCGGCTTTTGCAGTTGCCTGCTGGGCCAATGGCGATATTCTCACCTATTTTACACAGGGTTGTTTAAATTTGATGATTTGGCTAAACATAGCAGCCCTCACTCCTTGCCTAATAGGCATTATTGAGGGGTTGTGGTGTCTTTGTAGTCAGTAATTGTCATAGTTTAGAGATTTGTCGGGGATTAGTTTGGTATTTGTCCCCTGAAAAAGCTAGGAAAAAACAGGGTTGTCAGCGTTGTATGTTGGTCTTTCGATAGTCTTCGTTATTGTCACAATTCACAGGACTACTGGACTGTAAAACCACCCGAAAGTGCCAAAGTCGGGGACGGGGTTCGCCCTCGGCCGTGGCACTGCCAGTCGATTTCACCGTTCAGTCGTCCGTCCGACTAGATCTCGTAAGTATCTACATCGGGTGAATTGTTGTTTAGTACGTTATGCTCAGTGGAGGGTCCTGTTATTGTCGTCGGTATATGCTCAAACATTGATGAAGACAGCCGTGCTTTCTACGCACGCCGTCTTCCCGATGTATGTTGATGATGCTATCCCTCAACTCATCGGGGAGGCATCGCGCGTAGAAGTTTTCGGCTGTTTTGATGATAAAGTCTCTAATGAGTGGCATATTTGTCGTAGCGTGCATGTCTCGTATTCTAGTGTAGCGGTCGCACCCTAGAACTAGCCTCAGACATCTGTTTTGGGCATTTTGAAGTTTATTATAATGGATTTGTGCCATTGAGTTGAAAACTGGGCAGCCATACGTTAGTATAGGTCTGAACACTGTTTTATACAGTAATATTTTGTTTGACAGGGTAACTCCACTCCGTTTGTTCATTAGGGGGTAAAGAGTCCTAATAACCCCACAGTTTTTAGCTACCCTGTCCAAAATGTGTTGGCGAAACGTTAATCCCCTATCTAGCTGAAATCCTAAGTATTTTATCGCGGCTTTTGTTTCTATTGGCTGGTCTTGGACCCGAAGGGGCGTGTCTATTCCTTCGATCCGCCTTTTTGATATGAGTACTGTCTCGGTTTTACTAGAATTTAATTTGATTTTGTTTTCTGCTAGATAGGTGATCAACGGTTCGTTTATATGGCTGTCCAGCTTTCTGACGGCGTCTTGGGCTGATTTTTGACTGGAAAAAACACAGATGTCGTCGGCGTACAACGCCGTCTGTACACCATTATCACCCATGGGTAAATCACAGGTCATAGTTGTGTACAAATGCGGCGAAAGTACTGAGCCCTGGGGTACTCCCGCTCTCGCTAGGAAAGGTCCTGTTATTGTGGAATTAATCTTAATACAAAATTGTCTGTCCGTCAAGTATGACTGGATTATTTTTATAATGTGTACGGGAAAATCATTCGCAATCATTTTGTGTATTAGCCCACGGGTCCATACGGTGTCAAAGGCCTTTTCACAGTCTAATGTGACTAAAACCGTTTGGAGGTCATTATTAAAACCTTCTTTCGCGTGATGCGCAACTCTAAGGACTTGTGACACTGTACTATGCCCCTCTCTGAAACCGTATTGTTCCCGTGGGATAATTTGTAGTCGTTGTTCGATTTTTTTAAGTCTATTCAAAATTACAGTGTCCGTTATTTTAGCTATTGTGTTCAGTAAGGAAATGGGGCGGTAACTATCTATCTTATTGGCCGGTTTGTTCGGCTTTAAAATTGGGATAATATTTGCCATTTTCAAGCTACTGGGATAGTGTTGTAGCTTGAAAATGGCATTAATTAAGTGGTGGAGCTGCACGACAGCCTTTCTACACATATTTTTAATTAGAATGTTACTGATGTCGTCCGGTCCCGGAGCTTTTCTATTTTTGAGACTCTTAATTGCTTCACATACCTCTTTAGGGGAGGTGTAAAAGGAATGTGGCACTAATTGCGGTTCCGTCTGTTCCAGCGCATTTACTACACGTTCAATGCGCTGCTGTTCAGGATTGTTTTCTTGCTTGTTGACAAAATTAGACTGAAAGAGTTCGCCGAATGCTTGTCCTTTGTCCTTGTCAGTGTTTAGTAAGTCTGGTCCTCGTTTCATTGTGGGAAGCAGCGAGTTAGATTTTTTAAATCTTCTCACTACTTTCCACAATGAGTTGTCGTGTGGTTTGAGCTCCGATAGGGTGGTTTTCCATTTACTGTTTCTATGTTCTTTGATCATTTTATTGATGGTCTTAGCGATGTTATACATACTAACCCTATCGTCGCTCTGTCTGTATTGTTGTTATCTTTTTCTAATGGTATTTTTATTATTTATCATGTCTGTAATCTCTATAGGCAATATGTCGTTGTGTTGTTTTTGTGTTTTAAGTGTGGTTGTAGCGTCTCTAGCTTTTTGTATTGCGTGAATAAAGTTGTTTGTTTCGATTTCTAATATTTCTTTTGTTGGAATTTTATTATTGATTTTGATTAATTTGTCTAATTCGTCTCTGTAGTTTGCCCAATTTGTCGTTTTATAGTCGTAGTATTGCCTATATTGTCGGGGTATTTTTTGAGTAGTCCATATTTCCAAGTACACTGGATCGTGGTCTGAACTTAGGGTGGATATAGTTCGCATGTTTCGAATGTCAGGGATATTTTTGACTAGTGCAATATCCAGTGTACTAGGGGTGTGAGTCGCGCAGGAAGGGAAAAAAGTCGGTTCGTCGGTGTATTGTATTATGTAACCGTTCGCATCAGCGAAGTCTTTCAGTAGCATTCCACTGGGATTAGGGATGATACAATTAGCGTCCCATTCCGGATGTTTAGCATTAAGGTCCCCTGCCAGAATAACCCTGTTTCCTTTCGACATCAATATGTGCAGATCTCTACCTATTAAATTTTTGCTTGGTGTGTGATAAGCACCTATTATTACGATATTATTGACCTCAATGATAAGGTGTTCTAGTTTTGTTGAGACATGTGCTCTTCTGAGCTGTTTAAAAATTATATCTTTTTTAATTAAGATAGCTACCCCTCCCGCTCCTTGTCTTTGTTGTAGTTGTTGTCTGTCCTGTCTTATTATTGTGAAATCTCGTATTTTTACTTTGTCCGTTGATTTAAGGAACGTCTCTGTCAAAATAATTATGTCGTATTTATGTTTGTGAATGAAATTGCTTACAAGACCGATCTTGTTTAGCAGCCCGCGCACATTATAAAAACAAATTCTCAGTTTGTCTCGCTTTACGTTGTCGAATCTAGTTCCTAATGTTGAATTTATCTAAATTTGTCATGAAGTTATTAAATGTCATTAAGTATTGT